AAACTCTGGTAATTAGAGAAGATTACAGGTTTAATTATGTATAAATAACTCCATCTCGTGTATTGAGATTTGTGAGTTCAAATATTGTACGATATTGGAACATACTCCCTCCGTCCCTCAATGCTTGTCCACTACAATAAAATTGGTTTATAGAGGCATGACATAATTGCCTCAAAAAATAGGAAACTAGCCGCTAATATAATGCTCTTGGGAGGCAATTTAGTGGTTGCCAACAAATAGTTTGTCGCTAAATGTTGTTTGCCTCTAAAACTCCCTTTAGAGGCAATCAAAGATATGGTTCTAAAACATATTTAGAAGCAACCATATCCTTTTGCGTAAAAAGGCATTAGAGGTAACCATATCATGCATGTTGTCTCATAATGCTAGAGTTAATTATATTGAATGACTCAAGAAGTTTTTAGAGTCAACCGTATACAAATTTTAGTGTTGATTTGGAAGCCTTTTAGTGGCAACCATATGCTGACATTTAAACAACATATATTTAGTGACATTTATGTAATTTTGCCTCAAATAGAAGTAGCATTACATATTACTATGTACTTCGTATATTTTTAGACATACATTACATTAATAGGAAATAGTACCAAAATACTATATAAAAGACATCACTCAAGTAAATTACTCTATAGTATAAGGAAGAAAATCAACAAAAGCGTGCCATTGAGTAGCTAAATAAATTTACAATGCATTCAAACTAAATTACTAATATACCACATCACCTCAATAATCTCTATAGAACTAACTAGAGTTAATTTAGTAACTATATACTAAAGCATACTAGAATACTAAAGTCAACCATACTAGATCTATCTAAATGCTAAAAATGGTGCTCTGGAGGGTTACTTCATCATCATCACCCATTGACATCCTCGCTTCCATTGCCGTCACCATTTTTAGAAATATCTGCATATATTAATATAGTAAGACATTTGCAACTATCTGATAAACAAGATAGTACACAATTTTCAACTAGTTATCTTAAACAGTCTGCAGCTAGAATATACTTCAGAAAACTTGGAAAATGTTTGTTTGTAGCATATTCAATTTGCATATATAAAAAATCGTAATATCTGCAATAACCTCTAGTATATGTAACAACAAAAACTATATAGTCTACAACCACAACAACATGCATGAATAAGCATATACTCCGTATGCAGCTAGAATATTCAAATATAGCCTAAGAAAGGAGAGGTTAAACGTGAAATGTCCAAATAAATCCGTAAATTATTAATTAAGATTTTTTACTTTGGGTACAAAAGGCATTCAAACGCTCAAATGATGTCCACAGAAGCTAATATACAAAATATCCTTGTGAATGTTTTATACGTAGACATTAGATCCAAAGAAGCTATAAGATGTACCTCTTCGGCTCTTCTACAATTGAGTCACAACCTCCGCTATAAGTCACTTCATATTCTGTTTAATCAGACTGCAAAAGATATAACCATTGATTAATTGTAAGGCCTAGTATGAGAAAATATAGATTCGAAAGTATTGCTGAGTCATATTAAACTAACATCAATTCAAATGTACGGAGTAATATTTACTTGAAAATGCATTTTATGGTTGTGTACATCTCTAGTTTAAATCACTGCTAGTGGTTGGTTGCCTCTTAAAACAAACTAAATGGTGTGAGAGTAATATTTAAAATCATAAATTATAAAAAAAATCCACGCAAACAAGATATCATCATCCTAAGTTAATATTGTAAAAAGTTTTTGAAACATTTTTTTCATAATGAAAATACAAAAGTATGAATACACATACTTGAAAATAGGGGTGGGAAAAACCGAACTGAAACCCGGAAACCGACCCTGGACCGACTCGAATTATGATCCCGGTCCGGGTTTTTTCTTTTTAACCGGACCGAATTCAAAAAAAACCGGACCGAACCCGAAATTCCGGGCTCATTAACGGGCCTTAAAATATATAACCCGGCCCGGACCGAAAAAACCCGAAACAATTAGCTTTAATATAAAATTAATATAATATATGAATATAAATTTATAAATATTTCCTAATATACGATTATAATCACGGTGGATAAAAAAGTGATTTTGTAACTTTTAGTGACTACAAATTTGTTCAATTTTTTAGCGTAATTACCATGAAAATATATTTATAGCAACTCTAGTCACATTTATATCTATAAATTTTATTTCGTAATATTTTTAAGAAACCTATATTATTTATTTATATGCATCATAAATAAAATATTAAGATAATTATCTTCTTTAGATTTGAATTGTTGGTGATTTTGGAGACTAATATTTGTGTTATTATTTTCGCTTTGTATTTTTGATTAATTTTATTTGAAAATAGGTGTTAAAATATAAAAGAACAATGAGATATTTCACGTTTGGGCTTTAACCGACCCAACCCGAACCCGGACTGAAACCGGGCTACCAAAAACCCGACTCGGACCGAATATAATGGACTTTGTTCCGGTCCCTAATTTTCATAACCCGAGACCTTCCGGGTAATTTCCGGGTTTAGCAAAAACCCGACCCAGACCGGACCGATCCTATCCCTACTTGAAAATGCACTTTATAATCTTGTATATCACTAATTAAAATCACTACTAGTTGGCTGCCTCAAAGAGCAAACTTTATAGAGTGAGAGCAATAAAATTAGGATTTAACTTTAAATTAGGAAATCTCACGGTGGTTTTGCTTTTTAAATTAGGATTTAACTTTCTGAAAGAGGATAAATTTAATAAGCAATACGGATTACAGACAGTGTTCTAAAAGGCGGGCCTAGGCGCCGCAAAAGCGGGCCTAGGCGTGAGGCCTGAATGAAACGCCTCGCCTGTCCACAAGGCGCGGTTAAAGGCGCACTACAATTTGTGGCTGCCTATCGTTAATCCGCACAAAGCAATGTAAAGGAAGACGGATTATTTATAGCGTTTGGTGAATTATAACGCTTTCTCTCCCACCGGTGTGGGATAAAGAATGGGAACGGAGGAAAGAAAATATCCGTAGTCATTTGTAAAGCATATCTCCTACCGGTGTGGGATATAGAATAGAAAAAAAATGAAATGCTACATCTAAACATAAACTAAAGCATGAGAAGAATACACATATATGATCGGGGTAAGCATACCTCCAGCTCAACTCACATCATAACTCACATTGTAACTCCATACTAAATACGCTAAAGCCTAAACAACATCACTTATTATTAATAATACGTAGTATAATACTGTTGTTCGAGTTATTGTTATACTACAATTTTTCCAAATTCATTTTGCAACTTTAAAAATCTAAATTTTAATTATTAAGAATTGAATTAATTATCAATAGAGAGAATTTAACTTTAACATTAGTTGACCAAAAAATGTTGACTTTGCAAATCAATTTGAGACGAAAGGAGTATTATTATTATTATTATTATTATTATTATTATTATTATTATTATTACTAGTGTTACCGTTTATTGTTTGTTTACGGTCTGTTACCGTTTATTGTTATTATTATTGTTATTGTAAAAGAAATTATTGTTATTGTAGTTTAGCGTTATCATTGTCAACTTCCTCACCATTATCATTTTATTTTATTTTTAAAAATGTTACTAAATAGAATTTATGAACAAAAAATATAACTAGAGTGACTCAGAGTATGTTTCCATAGTCACTAAAATGTAAAATTTAGTATAGTCACTAGGAGTTATTAAGTCATTTTTCTGTCCACTATTTTACTTTGATCATATATTAGATATTATTTTTTTTTATTAATATTAATATTTAACCATTAAACAAGTTTTTGCAGTTCTAAATCTTTGTGCAATTGGTAACTTTGTACTCTGTATTTGTTAGATTTAGGACTCAACTATTTTTGTTGTTGTTAAAAGTGAGAAAATATGAAGTTTTTTAATACCAATATTTAAAAACTACATTAAAATATGTAAAATAGGTCTAGGAAATTTAAAATAAATGATAAAAATCAAAACGCCTTTTCATGCCTAAGTGCCGCCTAAGCCCGCCTAGTCTTCAAAGGCTTAAGGCTTGGCCATGCCGCCTCGGCACGCCTTACGCCTTTTAGAACATTGATTACAGAGTGCATTATGAGCCTGTTTGGTAGCACGAAAATCAGTTGTTTTGACTGTTTTTGCTAAAATTTATGAAGTTCTGACTGAAGTGGCTGCATTGGCTGATTCTGTTGATTTAAGAAAAAATTATTTATAAAATTTATTTTATTCATAAACTAAAGAAAAAAGTATATCAAAAAATAGCTAAAATGGTCATCTACAGTAACTTCAGCTAATATAGCCAAAAAAGTAACTCTAACCTTACTTTTCTGTTTATTACACAATTCAACGCGCGAAAGCAAAAAATACATGTTAGGTGAAAAAGTTGACTGATAAGTTTTATAAATTGAAAACTGAGTGTTACCAGTTTTGGAAAAAGAGGGATGCGCATAGTAACGGCCTGTTTGGATTGAGTGTTGAGGAGTGTTAGTAATGGAAGTGTTAGTAAGTGTTGATGCTAACACTTGTTTGGGAGAAAAATTCAGAGGTGTTAAGAAGTGTTAGTAATGGTTAGGAAGTGTTAATAATAACCTTCCCAACACCTCAATTGTCCATTTTTTTAACACCCCGATTTGGAGTGTTTTGAGGTGTTGGACAATTATTACCCTTCTCATTTACCCGAAAAACATAAAATGCTTCGACATTTCACTTCGAATGTCTTTCCCACGGGTCTGATGGTTTGTTTTTTCATCTCTTCTCTTTACTCGTTTCTTTTGCCTCAAGGTAAAATTATTAACACTTCCATTATTAACACTTCATTCATTTGACTCTCCCAAACAAGGTAAAATTATGTCTAACACTTACACTTCCCTTCCCTTCCGAGTCCTTACTAACACTTACTAACACTTCCATTACTAACACTTCCAAACACTCCATCCAAACAGGCCCTAAGTTGGATTGTTTGAAGGTGGGCGGAGTTGGTCCATTTACAACCAAATGTTCGTAGCCATCGTAGGACATTTCCCTTGCAATTTTTGTCCAATTTTGGGGAGAAGGGTTACACGAACAGGAATAGGAAATGAAAACGAAATTTTTGGAGGAAAAAGAGAACAATAGAAGAAGCAAAGACCGTGAAAGCTTTGAGAACCAAATGGAAGAGAGAGACAAGGGGATGCAACGAGAAACTTTCGTAGCCTTTCTCAGACCACATAACCTTTTTGTTAGTTTTCTCATGAACTCTCAGCATCACCAGACCCAGAAATATTGTTCTTACACAGCCAGGAAAGGAAACATTTTTTATTCAGAGATTTTCTCCCCCTTTTGCCTTAGGAGACTGAAATTAAAAAGATGATTTCTTCAATGGCGGCGCCTTCTTCCTATTCTTCATCTTCATGGTTCTTAGCATCATCCTCTGTGGTGGTTCGAGTTGAGAAGGCCACGAGTGAGTTCTTGATGGGCCCTGATTGGACTATGAATATTGAAATCTGTGACATTATCAATTCCAATCATTGGTATTTTCAATTCCCTGTTCTGTTTCTTCTTGATGTTATTGTTGTTGTCTTTTATGCTTCATTTTTCTCTCTGGTTTTATTTGTAATGATGAAAAGGTGACCAGTCTTTGTAAGCACCCATAGTTCTGTGGAAATTATTAATCTTGTGTGGAATTTGACATTGCAATGGTTAATTTTGCACATTAGATGGAGAATGTTGTCTATGGCTATAATTTTTTTTATTCTTTATGAATTTCGTTTATCTAACATTGTAATGGTTGGTTTTGCACTTTTGCACATTAAATATAGAATGGGATTTTTTCATTATTTATTTTTCTTTAGTAACTTCATGTGTAACTTAACAATGTAAAGGTTGATTTTTTTTTTTGTAATTAAATTGTTTTATTTGTTTTTTTATGTAGATTTATGCTTGCAATTTATCATTTTAGTGGTAGACTTTGCACATTATATGGATTATGGAGTATGAAGTTCTTGGATCTGTTTGTTTTTACTCAAGTTATCCCAGCCGACTATTCCATTGTGCCCCAAAAGCTCAGCATTCTGTTCAGTTACTTGCAGAAATTGTCTGAATGCATATAAATATTACTAGTATGAAGTAGTTTATATGGTGATGGTATAACTTGTGATCTAACCATTGCTATGACTTTCAGGGTGGCAAAAGAAGTTGTGAAATCGGTGAAGAGAAGGTTGCTCAACAAGAATCCAAAAGTGCAACTACTTTCATTAACGGTATCTTTGCAAAAATAATTATTGTCAACAATATTCTCATTTAGTTTAGAGATATGCTACATTAAAGAACAATCTAGTTTTTATAAGTCTTATTTGTGGCTTACTGGCTCATCTTTGCCTTTCTTGTAGCTTCTGGAGACCATGGTGAAAAACTGCGTGGACATTATTCACATTCAAATTGCTGAAAGAAGCATACTACCTGAGATGGTCAAAATTGTAAAGAAGACGGCAAGTGGCATATTCATACACTTCTATTATATGCAGAAATGTTGTTTACGTCTAATACTACTCAGTATTCTCGATGAGATTTTCTGAGTTCTCTTTTCTTTAAACATCGCACCTCTTCTGGATCTTTATGGTGTGAATTAGACCAAATTTAACCATCATGTTGTGTATATATTTCCGTAAACAAAGGGGAAGCCAATGTTAATAATTTTGCTCTTTTCTCTAATTCTTTATTTGAACATTTTTTGCACCAATTATGCACCAAAATAAAAAATATTTATTTTTGTTTTCATTTGTATGTCATTGTTGGATTCACAGATGGATACACGTGTGAGGGACAAAATATTAGTATTGATAGACTCTTGGCGAGAGGCGTTTGGTGGCCCTGGGGGGAAATATCCTCAGTATTATTGGGCATTCCAAGAACTAAAGGTGTGCTTTTGATGCTTGACTTTCCCAATGTATGTTTTATACAGGGCACTAAATTGTGGACAATACAAATTTTTGACAAATTGTTTTTCTCGGTCTTGCAATTTAATGGTCAAACTTATTGCAGAATGCTGGTGTGGGATTTCCCCCACGTTCAAGGGATTCAGCCCCAATTTTTACTCCACCTGTGTCTCATCTGGCACGAAAGCATCCCCAAATAGGCTACAAAACGCCAACTGATCCTTCAATAGTACCTCAGACTGAAGTTTTAAGGTGAGTATTATTTTTGGAGCTGTGTTTATTCTTTCAAGGCTTTACTATGTTTTTCTGGATTCCAAATACTACAACAACAAACAACAACATCCAAGCGTTATTCTCAAAAGAAATTGGGCCGCTAACATGATTCCAAATACTACGTTTATCATTTTTTATTTTTTTATAGGTCCTTAAACATTTTGTTTGTCCCTGTATTTTACGTTGTTTTCATTGTAAAGCCTCACACATAAAGTCAACCTCCTTTAGAGAAAAACCGTTGCGATTCATGAAACTTTAGTATTGCTTTTCTATGAGTTTTTTGAAAACTTAATGCTTAAAGTATATATTTTGAGAGAGCTAGAGAGACATAAATTAAAAGTGTGATTGATGAGTGACTAGCTCAATTAAGGATTCAAGACGTGAAAGCTAAGTGAAAAAGGAAGGTGTAAACAAATGGAAAAAAAGATGATGCTTTATCTCATTTGGTATTATTTTTAATACACATGCTAGAGAAAATGATATCGGCCTTTTCGAATTAGTCACTCCCTCTTTGGAGTTGTTCGGTTTGAGGATTTTGGAGGTGAGGGAATGGGAAGGTGACATTCATTTTAGAAATATTGCTATGTTAAGCTAGTTGGAAAGAAAGTGAAGATAATAATTTATATAGAAATACCTGATCTAACTAATCACATAGTTAATTTTAGTTTAAAATGAACAAATAGAAATTAATTAGTAAAATACAATTTTGGTTCAAACCTTTATTTTCACATACAAAATATTGTGTGGAAATTAGTAAATTTTTTACATGGAATCATGAATAACCCTTTTATCCTGTTCATCCGAATTTCCTCCCCTTCTGTACGCCACTGCTCCCCTCAGATTCAAGAACCATGCAAGCCCTTTTTGTAACTTCCTGAGTAGTCCTTGGGTAGTTACAAAAAGTTGTAATAATCTGATTGATGCCAGTATATAAGCCAAACTGAAGGTTTTGAGACACATTATTACCAAACTAATTAAGGTCAAGGAAGAGGGCTAAAAGAAAATAACGTAAATGAATGGGATGAATAACAAAATGAATTACAGAGATCACAATAAAGCATTATATTTGTAGGGATGAATCTTTTTTATTTAAACATCTATTGTTTGGCTATGTGCCTATGTCATATTTTTACTTTTGTATTATTAATATGGGTACACACATTATTACAGTTTTCCAACCATAACTTCTATGAGGGGTATCCTAAATCTTTTAGCTGAAATGCTGCAAGCTGTGAATCCAAGCGATGGCCCTGTAAGTTCTCTCTTCAGTCTAACTCTCTTTTTATAACATTCTATATATTTCCAGTAAAAATCTTGACTTTCCCTCAATTTCATTCATCCTAGGCTGCTGTAAAAGATGAAGTTATAGTTGATCTTGTTGACCGCTGCCGTGCAAATCACAAGAAACTGTTGCATATGTTAACCACAACTGGGCAAGTTTCTTTCCCTTATTTAGTAGAATTCAGGATTAGGCTCCCAAAATAATATGAACTCATATTATCTCTTGAATATATGGCAATGTGGGAAAACACTAGTAACTTTAACCTAGATGCGAGATTAAGCCTAATTTACCTCACTCGTATATATCTGGTAGGCATCCAATGTGCAACACTTTATATGCTATCTAGCTCCAATCGGGCTAGACAACTTTGACAGGTGGATAAATATGTCAAACCAGCCCAAAACAAGCTATTCAAACCATGCGTAAAAAAGAGCTCTTAATGTGAGAAACATCTGTTGTACAACATTTCATAGTATACGACTGGTGTGCTATTGTTCTAGATGTTATTGATTTTTTACAATACTAAATCATTCTAGGGATGCTGATGCTCTAGCCAAGGGTCTTGAATTGAACGATGCCCTACAAAGTGTGCTTGCAAAGCATGATGCCATATCTTCCGGTACTGTCTTCCCAGTTTCAGTCAAGGAGATCAAACATGAATCAACTGAGTCACTTGAAGTTGGTAGTAGTGGAGCTGGCCCAAGTAATACGGAACAAGAAAATGAACATGCTCTTGTACCTGTGCCTTGTCTTTTAGGTGAAGAAGAAGACGAAGATGATGACTTTGCACAACTGTCTCAAAGGTAATTAATCATATCTTTACGTTTTAATTTATTTCCACTTTTAGTCCTCCGATAATTATATCAATGACACTTTTCATACACGTCTCTGTAGTTTTTCATTCTTATTCTGAGACTATTATGATGTAAACACTTTTGGTATCCATCTGTTATCTTCTAAACAATATGATTGTGACACTTTTAGTACTCAGGTTTAGAAAACATTCATAGGATTACTGGTGGAAAATTTAAAAAGCGGGTACTGAATCTGTTATAAAGTGAACTAGAAGTGGAAAGACTTAAAGATGGGTACCAAAAATAGCATCACTGCGATAGTTATAGGGTAAAAATGGGGAAAAAATCTTTACGTTTTGTTCATTGTGAGTTCAGACATTCTAAAACCGGTGAAGGAGAGCTGTCAGATCCTCCAAGTGTGAACAATGCATTGGTTCTTCGCGACCCCCCTGTCCGCACAAAAGAACAAGACATGATCGACCTATTAACCATCACCTTATCATCAAACACCTCCACAGAGCCCATTCCTGAAACACAAGACACAATAAATGAGACGCCCTTGGTTGATTCTTACCCGGGAGGGCATCAGAACAATTACATAGCCACTTGGGCTGCTCAACCTCAACCGCAAATGCAGCCTCAAATTCAGACGTATTCTCCACCACAATATCCACAACAACCTCAGTATTATTATGAATTACAGCCACAGCCCCAGTACCCACAGTACTATGGGTATACCTCTCAACACTATGCTCCAACGCCCGGTTATTATAGCAACTCATATGCATCATTTTCCTCATCTTCAAATGCCTTCCCAGCTTGGGGAAACAATAATGGGATTGCACAAGTTGGTGTAAGTTCCTCATCTGCTGGGCAAAAGCAAGCTTTTGTTCCGTCATATAGGCTATTTGAAGATTTGAATGTTTTGAGTGGTAACGGGGATCAACCATTTAAGACGACCACAATGACGGGTAATTCATCTTCCACCAGCTTGTATGGGGCAAACACTCAAAGTTTGATAGGTGGGCGCAAATGAAATGGTTCATCTAAATGACCGTAAAAGCATGGGTTGATAATCTGCGGCCTCTCACCTCCATTTTTCAAGTTCTTTTTGCAGGTTAGAAATAATTACAGTAGTTTGATGTGATACCATGTATTGTGTATTATAGCTTAATGTATAATCGAATAATAACTCGAGTGGACAGATACACATCATAAGCGCTAACGCGCAATACTTCCTTGAATAAAGCATAATCATCCTCACATTTGATGAATATCTGAAATTCTGAATTGTACTCCGTACATGGTTGGGGATTTGCATTTGACCTCTTGCTCTATAAGGTTTACTTGTTCATTATGGAAGATTTTGACTTTCAGCAATATTTTCATGACAGTAGACTATGGGTTGATTTGGGCCATCCAATTCTGGTTTCGGTCTGATTTTGGACCGTCCAATTCTGAGCTCCCCCATCCATGATCGGTATGCGATATATCAGTTCCAGGTTGTTCGTTTCTCTTTTACATTGTGTTATACTTTATATTGATAATCCAAGTATTATTTAATTATATTATTATACTAAAATACAATATATTACCATATTACAAAATACTCCTTCCATCCCTTAAAATTATTGTCATTCACCTTTTGGGGATGTCCTAAAAAATTCTTCCATTACTGTTTTTACAAAGTTTGTATGGCTAACGTTCATTTACCATTTTCTTACTCAAGCATAATTATACGTGTTCATTTTATTTCTACTTTCTTAAACTTCGATCCAAGTCAAATTGGGAAGAATTTTATGGGATGTAGGGAGTATAAAGCATAATAATAATACTCCATATTACAATTACATTATAGTACAAAGATTTATTTATAAAACAAGTTTCACCGGAATCAGACCTAGATCCAGTCATCCAGGTTGATTTGGTTTCGGACATTGAAAAACGATCCTGATCCGAATAAAAGTATTCACCTATTTTCTGTCCAATCCTGTTTTGAATCGTGCCCTCCTATAAGAAATTAATTAAATTTATGCGTTCATGTGTGTTATGTTGTGGTGTATATTGGATTATTGGAATGATTTTATTTTAATTTCAAATATCTTATTAGACATCCTCAAATGTACATCAGTACATGTTTGCTTAAAAAAGATATCCAAGCTAATCAAATATTTAATTTGTTCTAGTATTATCTTTTCACAGACATTAAGGTAAATTTCTCATTTCTTTTTCAAAGATTATCTAGTTCACTAATTGATAAAATTGATTTGCTAGCAAAATAGATCGAACCACAAGAAAACCGAAATTGAATTTAAAAAATAAACAAAATGTTGTTGTTTGGTTTTGGTTATGGTTTTGACCTCTACAAATCAAATCGGGTTGTACGAACTGATCTTTTTAAAAATGCTAATTTATTTATTAATTAATCATTAAGTAATTTTTAATTCTTAATTCTTAATTCTAGAAGATTAATATTTAATTTTAGATTTACTATAATTTTAAGATATTTAAATGTGATACTTATGCTGGAGTGACCTACGGAGACTTTCGGGGAAAGAGGAGAGGGAGAGGAACAATGAAAAAGGAGAATGGTACTTGAGAGCGTTGTCATCATAATCACGCACCTTGAACCCTACAACCACTAATGTCATCCAATCGTGATGCCCTATTACCGTATCATGCACCTCACGATAGACATATAGACACATGAGGTATCCACACGATATTACTTTCACATGTTCGTCCAATGTTCGAAACATCAGAAGTTAAGGACATGTGTTGAGCTATTGGGTTGAGCGGCCCAACCGCACCAACCTAACCTAGGACAGGTCATGATACACATAAGCTTTGGACCGAGCGAAACTAGAAGGGAGTCGTACCAATGGTACTTTACCGGATGGAAGAATGAGGTCAAGTACGTTAGGCTTTAATCCTCGTTGGTCCAACTGCATAGCCATTTGACCGTTCTTAGAACATACATAGAACAATAGACAAAGTGTGACCTTTTTTTTAAATTAAGTGGCTACAATTTGAATTTGGACTATGTTCAATCGTAAAACCACAATGACCACGACGCGCGACATACTCACAGTATGTAACATATGTCCGTTTTATCTATAAATTTTTATACATAAAATACAAATGATAGTCAAATTTTGATAGACCGGGGACTGGTCACTCGATCAATTGATCAAACCACCCTACCTGACTACTTCCACCCATGTAATCAAGGCATAATAAAATATTTTGGTTGAATTAATTCTATTTTTAATGAACGATAGTGGAGAAATTGTTAGAGAGAATTCCCTAAATAGCAGTAAAAACGTTTAGAAATTCCAAAATAGGAGTATCATGTTTTTTATTACCTTAATAGGAGTAAATTTCTGTCATGTTTGACATTATAAGGCTTTTAACATGACATTTTTTTTCAAACTTGGCAGATTACTCCTATTCAGGGAATAAAAAACATGATACTCTTATTTTGGAATTTCAAAATTTTTTTACTTCTATTTAGGGCAATTTCTCAAATTGTTAGATTTCTGCCTCATCAAATAATAAAATTAAACCAAGACGTACTTAAGATTGATAGCAACCACGCAACATGCTTCTATATACTCCAAATGAATTACTTAAGTAGTTGGTTGGGTGGTGGATATATGAATTAGTCGCTACTATATAGTATACGGAGTATTGTATTAGCATATACTAGTACACATTAGACTTTTCCTTGAGTTTAGAGCAATTCCTATTCATTTATAGTGACAATCATTCGGCTATTTAGTGCACATACCCTTGTAATCTTAGACACTTTCAAATACATATGGTACAAGTTGCTTGGTTGATGGGATGCTAGAGATTGGAGTTGGATTTACTGATGATCGAGGAGTGATTATATATATCAGATTGACAATAATAATGATATGATTGAGCTAAGAAAAATGAAAAATCCATACACGAGTTAAAAGAAAAATCAGATGTGCGTATTAAGCTTCAAATCATCATAGCCATAGTATTGAGTTTGTCAATTTTTTTAGTCCATTAAAAAGAGGATCATCGTTATTATTCGTGTATGATGATATTTTTATGTTCATTAATCTTATAATATAATAATATCCTCAAGCATACGGAGTACATATTTCGGTGAGTATATATGTACAAAATCCGTACCTTCTTAAAAGAGGGTGAGTTTTTAACGGTTTTAGATCAATCAACCCAAATATAGCACTATGGATGTACGGGTGCTTGTCTTTGAACTTTGAAGAGACAGAGTCCAAATCTTCTAGCCAAAACTGGAATGCCCATCCCAAGCAATCTCACACTCTGATCCAACAAAACGGTAGAGGAGTATTCACGATTTAATCACTTATGAGTTATGAGGCTCGAGGCCGGATAAAAAAAGTTAAACCATATATTGGGCCCTTTGAACATTAAATTTTGTGAGAAATACGGTCTATTGTCGTAATGCCACTTTGAGAGGCATTCGACTACTCTTTAGGGATACTTTTATTTGGACTAGAATTTTATGAATATTTCTGATTTGGTCTAGTTTCATCTAATGTGATAGATGCATGTTCAATTTGTACAATTGTTGAAGTATGGTTTGATCTGATCTCATTTAATGTGTGTAAATTGATACCATTTGGTTTCGAATAGAAACTAGTGCAATTAAAGTAGGGAAAATGGAAACTAATAATCCAACCTTTTAGCGGTCTTCTTTTAATAGTCCCACCTTTTCGTTATTCATGAATAATCCAACCTTTGCACCTCATCTTCATTCACTGGTCCTTGACCGGTTGATGACATGCTATTCCGAGTTATTTTCTTATCTTTGTAAAATATTATCTTTGTGAAAGGTGGAATTTATGGTATAATAGTTTGCAAAGATAAGAAAATAACTCGGAATAGCAGGTCATCTACCGGTCGGGGACCAATGAATGAAGATGAGGTGCAAAGGTTGGATTATTCATGAATAACGCAAAAGTCGGACTATTAAAAGAAGACCGCTAAAAGGTTGGATTATTAGTTTCCATTTTCCCATTAAAGTATCGTTAGTATTATAGAGGTCCATTTGCATAAGAGAGGAAGAGCGACACCAAAAGCAAATAAAAGGTGGGATGAGATGAGATATCGATTGGAAAGAAAAAGATATACGAAATTACGAAGTATAGAAAGAGATATATACCGGCTCTATATCCGAAGTGAGATGCCAACGTAAATTACATTGTAGAGCCGGTTGTACGGTGCTCACCGTACAGCCGGGTTTTTTGTAATTAAACCTGCAATTCATCCCTGCAACTCACCGACGAAGAGGGACGAAAGATCGAAAGTCTGGTGCAACTCACAAACGTAGATCGCAAATCGCCGATAGCCAAGCTTCCAAGTGCAACTCGGGACTGAGATGCTTGGCCGTCGCAGAGAGAAACGGCTCTTCCTGTGCGAGCGATTCCTATTCCTCACCGATTAGCCTATTTCCCCTCTCTGCTAATTTCTGACTTGCCACAATTTCTTTTTATGAATTTCTCAACCGCACTAACCATCCTGACATCCTTTTCCTTTTTGCAATTATAATCTCCAACTACAACCACCTGACATCCACAAACCCCTTATGACAATATTTTATTAATATTAAAGCTGTTATATAGGATATCATAAAAATGAGTCTTAACAAATGAAATTATGAGCACCATAGACATTTCAAATGAATTTTTTAATGCTCATTTCGTAATTTATGTATACTCATTTGATATTAATGCAGTACTCATTTTAAAATGTCATATTCATGCACACTTCAAAATGAGTTTTATGTTCAACTCAAATGAGTATAACGCCCAAATGAATGAGCACTGACAAATGAGTTTTTAAATCTTTTGATACTCATTTTGTAAGTTATGTATGCTCATTTTATACTGTTTTATGCTCATTTAAAAATGGTTCACATTTCAAACACATCAATGCATCATACTATATTGGATTCAGATATTAAAATAATAAAAGAAAAAATAATAAAAATAAATTGAATTAGAAGATATGACGCACAAATCACTGGTGCTCATTGTTAGACCTTAATACTCAAAAGAGTAGACACGATGATCATCACAATCACATAATGAAAATCACTGATGCTTATAATTTCAAGTTAATGCTCAATGAAAACGTCTTGATGTTCAATTAAAGTACTTATGATTTTTATATCAATTCTCATTTTATAAGTTATTATGCTCAACGGGTATTCATGTTATGCTCATTTGTAAAATGGCATAACAATGCATATTTCAAAAGTATCATATTGCATTAAATTTGCATACTGAACTTCATAAGAGTTGATTATAGATATAATTAATCAGTTTTTATAAAGAAAAAAATAAGGA